CATTCCTGCTGTGCGAGTGTGAGCACAAGCCCCAACCCTCATCCCTATCCTCCTTGAGGACTCCAACCCTGCTCACTCCCCACTTGCCTGTGGTTCCCCAATGCTAGACTGACTCCCCTGCTGCCACACCAACCTCCCTGCCCTGAGTCCACTCCAGCACTGTGCCCAGTGCGACTCCTCTACCCTGCCCACTTGGCACCTACAGGGCCGCTACCACTCCCATGCCCAACTCCAGCCCAACTCTGAGTCCAGCGCTGATACCATTGCCATTGCCGCTATCGTGGCCCTACACTCCTTCCTTTATTTATCTGTTATTGTTTGTTTTGACCCTTGGTCATTGCTGGCTGCTGTCAGAGACCAGATTCGAGACGAAGGAGAGTCTCTGTGGCGGAGGGCTTTGGCCTCAGCGACTTATGCCAAGAGCGCTGTGCCTAGTGACACGTCTGTGCCCTAACTTACTGACTGGCAAGCAGAACTGAAGGGGGGTAACTCTAGTCGATTTTATTACTGGAGTGTAACCTATGTACAAGTTGGATATATATATGGTTACAGCGAAGACGGGTCCGCAAATGGCGGAGCCGAATGGAGCGGAGCTAACAGGGTTAAACATTAGCCGACTGAATGTTACCGACGAGTCGGGTCGCGGGGTTAGCGGAAAGGCAGGTGATAACCCAGAAACGGAAAGGAGGGATAGGCCCGAAGGTGGGCTCTGCAGGGCAGGCGAGTGTATTGCCCAGCGGAGGTGGGAGTGCACTAGCAGACGTCGGAGCTGTCCGGAAGTCTTTGGGGCTCCGTACTTAGGGAGGCGTAGGTAATAAATTGAAAGGAGGGGGTGGTGACCATCGAGGGGTACTGAGAGGATTGTGGAATATGGGAGCTCCGAGGTTAGTGAGGAAGGAGCGGAGCTAGACCAGAGGGATCGGAGGGACTGGAAGTCGATGGCTGGGGATGGATATGACAGATACCCAGAGGTACCGAAAGGTCCCAAACGATATCCTTTAACAGGGAACTGAGGTGTTGGGTCAAGGAGGGCAGAGTAAGAGGCTGGAAGATGAATGGGAACGAGAAATGGGTAAGAGGGGGTTAGCCAACTGAATGGTAAGAAGAAGATAGTCATGCTGTGAATGGAAGGTGACTAGTAAGTGATGATGTGAGTGGGGTCACTGAAGGATGCGGGTAGCTCCGAAGGCAGAGTTACATATCCGAGGGATATGGGTGACTCCAATAAATGAAATGGGTGGCAGAGTGGTTTAGGGGTATGTCACAGGATGTTGGAGGTCTGTCGGGATATTGTAGCAAATCTGGAGTCTCCAAATGTGCTGACTCGGGACCGAGCTTCTGGGATGGGAGTGGCCAAGGTTCGGTGTGCCGCAGCCAGGCCAGAGCTGAGACAGTTAGGAAGGAAGGTGACTTGGGGAGTGGGGAGTCATGGTGTAGGGGATGGTGAAGTTGTTAGGAAGGTGTGGTGTGGTGGGAGAGCATGGGGTCGGGATTCCAGGATATGACAGTTAGCAGAATGGCAGGCGATAACCCAGAAATGGAAAGGAGGGATGGGCCCAAAGGTAGACTTGCAGGGCAAGCAAATGAATTGCCCAGCGGGGGCAGGAGTGCGCTAGTGGATGTCGGAGCTGTTCGGAAGCCTTGGGGGCTCCATACTTAGGGAGGCGTTGCTGTGGGGACAAGTCCGTGCAGGCTAAAACAAGCCTCATTGCACACTTCACCCTTTACTGCCTCAGGGATTAGGATTGGTGCGTCGGGGTAGTAGTAGGAGTTGTAGAGATTGTAGAGATGGTTCTGACGAGCCCAAGATTGTCAGATTTGGTGCGGTGGTTGAGGAGATATGTTTCTTTCTTTATTTTCTTGACCATTTTCATTCATTCATGCATGTGACTTTCCTTTTTTGATTGTATCGGATTCTTCCGTGACACTGTATAGTTAGTTAGAGAGGGTTATCAGCACCATACCCAAGGACCCCACTACATCTGTCTGACACTAGAGAGAGACCTACCCCCCCCCCCAGACCTGAGTTGCGAGTTTAGATTGATAGACACATTACAGCGTAGGTAATATATTGAAAAGAGGGGGTGGTGACCATCAAGGGAGTCGGAGGTGATTGCGGAATACAGGGGCTCCGAGGTTAGTGAAGAAGGAGTGGAGGAAATCAACTAGAGCAACCCCCTCTTGTGTGATGCTTTCATATCACTTTCAACTTAAGGGTAACATGTAATTAACCATTATGCCCCCAACTGTCATTGTTGTACCAACGATCCTAATTTATGATCAATCACAATGATTCCTGGGAAGACTCATAGTGATTCATGAAGGTCCATGAGGGTCCATGATCCTTTATGAAGGCTCATGACACTTCATGACACTTCATAGACAGGCATGTAACCACTCAAAACCTGCCTGGAACCACTTAAGTCATGAGCAATCATGACCCCCCATGCAGGTTCATGACATCTCATGAAATTCCATGATGGTTTGTCATGCGGCATGACTGTGTATGACACTTCATGCTGCTTCATGAAGTTTGGTGACCATTCATGATGGTTCATGAACTGCCATTACACTTCTTGCAAGTTACTGATAAGCCAGAACACTTTGTAGATAGAAAGACAGTGTAATATTGAGTTCAACTTTGGTTCCGCGACTTCTGATTATCTTAAGACTTCATGAGTCTCTTAACCACTTGAACTCAATCCCCGGCCTCTGCTGACATTCAGGTCCCTCACATTTTGTAGGGTTCACTGTGTGCATCCACACCTGCTAAAGAGTAACAGGAAAACAAAAAATTAGAAACACAAATGACTGAGTACAAGAAGCAGGCAAAGCACAGGGGAAATATTGTGAAGCAAGTCATGTAGCACTGTTCTATTTCAAAATGAGAAGGGTACCAGACTTGTACCCAGTCGGAGGAGCTCCATGGATGTGCAAAATAATAGCTTTTTTACGCAATGTAAATAAATGTTCTCACACTAGACCTGCTTCCGATTGAAGTCACGTTCTGTACTCAATACAACAGATCACATGGTATGGAGTTAAACACATAGCCGATCACCTGCCTGCAACACTTTGCTCCTCCGACTGGGGCAAATTGTAGATGGCTGTGCTACAGCACTTTCCATCCCAAATTTTCCTGCACTAATCTGTGGCCCAATTAGGCATCCAATGCCAACATCTCTGCCCCCCATGTCCACTCTGACTGCAGCTGACCGAATATTGCATGCAGAGGAAATCCTGAGGTGTGTCATATCCATCCCCGGCCATCAACTTCTGGTCCCTCCGATCCCTCCGCTCTACCTCCGCTCCTTCCTCACTAACCTCGGAGCTCCCATATTCCGCAATCCTCTCGGTACCCCTTGATGGTCACCACCCCCTCCTTTCAATTTATTACCTACGCCTCCCTAAGTACGGAGCCCTGAAGACTTCCGGACAGCTCCAACGTCTGCTAGCGCACTCCCGCCTCCACTGGGCAATACACTCGCCTGCCCTGCAGAGCCCACCTTCGGGCCTATCCCTCCTTTCCGTTTCTGGGTTATCGCCTGCCTTTCTGCTAACCCCGCGACCCGACTCGTTGGTAATATTCAGTCGGCTAATGTTTAACCCTGTTAGCTCCGCTCCATTCGGCTCCGCCAATTGTGGACCCATCTTCGCTGTAACCATATATATATCCAACTTGTACATAGGTTACACTCCAGTAATAAAATCGACTAGAGTTATCCCCCTTCAGTTCTAATCACCAGTTAGTAAGTTAGGGCATGGACGTGTCACTAGGCACAGCGCTCTTGGCATAAGTCGCTGAGGCTGAAGCCCTCCGCCATGGAGACCTTCCTTCGTCTTGAACCTGGTCTCTGACAAGGTGTATCTCTGCTCAGGGGATAACAGTGACCATGTTTGTATCAATACTGCTCACCCACAAGCACTTCCTTGATGAAAAACTTAAATTGGAATTTGCAATATTGCGTCCATCTGCTCATGACACATCTGCAGAGGCAGTGGTTTTACATCATTTCGTTTTGGACAGTTCTGCATTGGTCTATAGTCAGGAAGCTCAAGATCTTATGGGAACAGAGAATGGCTTACATATGAGTGCACATAAGGGAAGCAGGCCAGTTAAGTAGGTTGAAGGAGCCATTCCAAGCCAAGTCCCCAGCCCTTTGGGGCCTCTGTTGCCGGTTATTGGATGTAAATGGAGCTCCAGGGTCGTGCAGGAGAGCAAAACCTATCCCAGTGCAATCCAATTTTGCCGATGATGGAGCCCAAGATGATGATGTATCTGCAGGTAAAGCCAGTAAAGCCACATCTGGAGAAAGGAATTATGCACTCCTCAATACAGTAAGCATTTGAACAATTTCCATGAGACAGTATGACTTACTGTGATACAGAAAGCAGCTGTAATTATATCAATTTTGCTCCACAGTTCCAACGAGCATTGCAATGCAATGCAAGCCAAAAATGCATTCTATCTTGCAGCGAGCTGGGCATCCAAATCGGTCCGAGAGTGGGCTGCACATGCAGGCCTTGCAGTCTCACCAAAGTCCACCGAAAACATTCAGAACTCATTAATGAGGACGCAGAAAATTATGAACTTGGAACTTGGACGTACCAGGGTACTCAATCTCACTTATGACAACTGTGATTTCAAATTTGGAGTCGGTCAGTCAACAGATCTCAATGAACACACCTTTGAGAGCATCACCACTGGCGTGTTCCTTGATCCCCCTAGTCAAGTGCTCCCAGAACACCTCAAGTATGCCGAGATGTTGTGGGATTGCCACCACAATAACCCAGATGCCACAAATCCCTATCCTCCCATGACTCCATCCAACATCATCCCAACATCAGCCGCTGTCCAGAACCTCATAAAACATTGTCAGTGGCATGTCAAATCAGTGCTTGTTGATGAATACTTCCCCGAAATGCACTCAAACCTCAGTCAACCACAGTCAACATTCAAACTGAGCCTGGAAAAAACAAAGTATTTAACTGCAAAAGCAATGTATGCAAAGGCATCAACAATCAATGGAAACATCGAAGCTCTCTTGTCACTGCTGGAACAAAGCAGCATCATGAACACAGTGACATATGAGAAGTACATTATATTTGTTCATGGTGATCTTGGAACATTGGAAAAAATTGAGACTATCTTGCAGTTGCGGTGCATCGAGGACCACATTTTGGAGTGGATGCACTATCTGCTGCCAATCCCTGGGCTTTTTCATGTTAGAATGGCATGCATTGATGCTATTAACAGGATACATGTGGTGGGACATGACTTATGCAATGATCCAAACAGCCTCTATAAAAAACTTGCCCATCTTTTCCCCAATGACATCGCAAAACTCAACAAAAGTGTCCCTCCCTTCTGTATTATGAATGACAGTATAATTGTCAGGGTTCAGCACCCTGCCCTAGGGTGCCCCAGACTCCCCAACCAATCCCTTCCTTCCATTCCTTCATTGTTGCCTTGTTGTTGCCTTTCTGTGTTGTGTATCCGCGCGCATGGGATAGCGTGGGAACTTTCTGAGCGAGCAGCTCACCCAGAATGTTCCCACGGGTCACAGCCACAGTTCTGGGCGAGCAACTCGCCCAGAACGTTCCCACGCTTACTGGGCACTGCCACCTGGATGTTCCCTCCGGGTCACACTACACAACTCTAGGAGCTGTATAGTTGTGGGCATGTGACCCATTCCTTTATATAGCAACCATGTGGGGAGATGAGACCTTTACCCTACTTCTCATCTCATGCCCTGCATAGTGTGAGGACAGGTTAGATGGGGGCTGAGGTCAGGGAGCCTCCGAGTCCGAGGCCGGGCCCTGACAATAATGTTCATTACAAGAAGCACAATCCTTGATGCTTGGACAGAGAACATTGGAGGAGACCTGCAGAATTACACAGAGAGTGTCAGGGCACAGCCCCTGACCCCACACACCCTCAGGTACCCTTCCCCCATTTTCTCCTATTTTTCCCCTCACTGTTCCACAACCCCACATGCAGGCAGACCCATGGGAACGTTCTGGGTGAGCAGCTCGCCCAGAATCTTCCCATGGGGGGGTGCCAATTATGGAAAGTCGGCAAAGAGCCGAAAACTGTATAGTTCCTGACTCCCATTTGTAGTGGCTTCACAGGAGGTTGAGAAGGTTACCCTTCTTCTCAACTCATTTCCTGTGAAGGCAAGTGTAACTGGCTTCTCCCTGAATGTGCAGCAACCCATTTCCTGTGAAGGCTGGGGCTAGCCCCCTCAGTGAGTTTGAGGATCTCGGATTGGGACTGGACACCCCAGCAACTAGGAGGATCTCCTTGGCCCTGTCACGGAACGAGGGCCAGACCCTGAGAGAGAGTAAACCAGATTGGGGGGACATTGAGAGAAGGGCAAAGATCATTGTGTCCGAGTATTTCAAAACAAACACAATCTCATCTGATCAAAGATGTAACAGGCAGCGCAATGAACGATGGATGAACCAGGTCCTATTCAACCACGATTCCATGTATTATTCTTGTTCATGCAATGAACCACAGAATGGCTGATATCATCATCAATGTCCTCTCATTCTGGGTGCCAGTGTTTCAGGCCTGTGGAAAATACAAATATGTGAAACACTTATCCAAGTTCTTATTTCAACTCAACCATCTTCCTGAACCATTAAAAGAGGCCATGATGAGGTGTTGGTTATGCTGTCCATCTGGAAAGGAGGGCACATTTCGAGCAGTTGACTGGCTTGTGGAACTTATGAACCTATATACAAAGGTGCGGCAAACATTAATAGCGATGACAGATTTTAACATCGAACCACAGGTGGTATACAGTGGCTTGGGATCTGGGAAAACGATTAACTACATGATTAGTCAATCATCAATAATCAATGCATACCACCAGTGCATTGAAGACATTGAGAGCGATTTTCACATACCAGAGAAAACACTCCATCATGCAGCTCCTGACATCCAATCGAGGTTGGATGGTTTAAGAAAGAGCCTTCATGAACTTTGGCCACATCAGTACAGAAGGCACCTTATGAGATAGTAGATTACTTTCAGAAGGGGTGTGCGCAGTTTGATAGGGGGATGATGTGGAACTTGGTCAATGTAGATGATGAAGAAAACAATGACGGACATACAATAGATGCTGCAGATCTGGCAGCATAAACTTCAGTGGCCCAATACTGATGTTGAAGCCAGTGCAGCATTTCCTTTGTCGTTGCATTTTGTTCCTGAGAGAATGAAAATGTAGTGCACCCTATTGATACACCAAGTATGCTGAAATACTCACATGTAGGGCCCATTCGCCCACATGCACCACAGGGTACAGAGCATGTTCGAGCTAGAGCAAGTTTGTTTGTTACTGGGTGAAAAATTACATAAAAACGTACCAGGAGGAATATGTTGTGCACAATGCTGAGTAAGTCCAAAGCATAGCATTCACGATTTACCCAATCCACGAGCTTATCAAAAACCCATGATGGAAAAGGGGGTAAATGCATGAGTCCGAATGCAGGCGGGGCTCAACTAGAGGGGGGTCCGAGGGCTCCGGTAGTGAACCGAAGCTTCTCAGGGAGCCCGGTTCTGCTGGATGGTACAAGAGGCTCTAAGCAGGACGCAGCCTCAGCGACTCGGAGGGAGCGCTGTGCCTCCGTTACATCTCAGTTAGTCCTTGTATTTCTTATGTCTGAGGTGTCTTGTAGAACGGGAGCGGGATTCACTCAGAGGGACTTTGGGTGGCATTTTAGTCGAGATTAGAACTGAGGAACTACAGGTTCTAATCTATGGGTATTTATAAAGGAGAATGGGGAGGACTTAGTCAAAGTCCGAAATGACAAATGGGAAAACACCGAAAGGTGCCGAATGATACCGAGAGGTACCGAAAGGTCCCGAACGATATCTTAACGGGGAACCGAGGTGTCGGGCCAAGGAGGGCGGAGTTGGAGGCCGGAAAATGAATGGAAGACAAATGGACAAAGGGGGTTAGCTGACTGAATGAAAGGAAGAAGGTAGTCATGCTAAGAATAGAAGGTGACTAATAAGTGATAACGTGAGGGAGATTACCGAAGGATGTGGGTAGCTCCGAAAGCGGAGTTGCATATCCGAAGGATGTTAGGTGACTCAAATAAATGAAATGGGTGGAGGAGAGGTTTAAGGGCATGTCACGGGATGTCGGAGGTCCGTTGGGATATCGGAGCAAATCCGGGGTCTCCGAATGTTCCGACTTGGGACCGAGCTTCCGGGATGGGAGTGGCCAAGGATTGGTGTGCCGCAACCAGACCGGAGCTGAGACAGTCAGGAGGGAAGGTGACTTGGGGAGTGGGGAGGCATGGTGTAGGGGATGGTGAAGTTGTTAGGAAGGTGTGGTGTGGTGGGAGTGCGCAGGGTCGGGATTCCGGGATATGACAGAGCTGAATGAACTTTTTGCGACATGTTAACTTGTTCCCATGCACAAGATAGATGATGTCATCGATGACATCATCAGAGAGGACAAGCCAGTCTCCCACCCACATATCGTCACAGCGGTCAGGGTAAGTGCGGGCAAATTCTTCCTTTCTCCACTCATAAAGCGCTTTGTCAAGAGCAGCTGACCTTGCCTCATCCTTCTCATATTTCGACTTGGGTCTGACCTGCTGTGGGTTCCATTTACTGGACGGTGGTTCAACTATGGCATCAAACATCCCTGACGTGTATCCAGGAGTATGTAGGTCGCAACAAGTTGTTGGTTTGCGCAGATCACACCGTTTGCAACAGGTGCATGGCATTTCTAGCAGGTGGATCAGGGCGGATCAGGTGGAAAGGTAATTCAAACTCACTTGTCTGGTTATTCCCGAAATACAAATCAAGTACTAACCTACAACAACCTCTTCTAGGGTCACCCTTGGGCAGTAGGTCTGCATTGATAAATGCATCAAGACCTGGGTCAATATTCTTGTGGCCTGCCGGTGCCTTCTTTGGCCTCATTATTCTCGTTTTTTCCATAAGGATGCACAGTTGCCACCATCTCCAAGGCCTAACAGCGTCTCAGCAGACTGCAACTCTCCCACCACCTCACCACCCATGATCCCATCAATGTTGTGAGTTGTCATATAGTCTTTGGGATCTGGTACTCAAGTGTAAGTCTACACAACAAACATCATTGTCATGGGAAAGACTCACCGACAACCCCATCTGAGGACTCTAACCAATCACTATCAAATTCCTCCATTGCGTTAGAGACCTCATCAAAAGCGATATCTGGGAACTCATCCCATATTTCACCCTCTGATGAATTGGACACATCCAAATCGCAATCCCCCTCATGAACTGTATCCAGCTGATCAATGTCACTTGATGGCCAAACATCTTCTCACAGCGCCAGTGTAGGATCTGCTTGATGAAGATCAAGCAGATAGTCATTAAATTCCTCGTTTGAAGGGGGTACTTCGTGGGCATCTGCAACGTTGGTAAGAGACTGCTGCAGTCCCCCTATTCGCTTCCTTGGCTGCTCATTGGTACTTGTGGTTTTCTGAGTAGGGGGTTTGCACTTCTTCCATTCAGTGGCCTTCTTTGCCCTCTGTTCTTGCTTGCGACAGGTTTCCTCAAAGTAATCCCATGGTGCAAGAAGGATCACAATGCCTGTTGTGTCTGGATCCCTTGCTGCACGACCAAAGCGCTGAGCAAGTGTACTCAGATTATTGGGTGGGCCAAATTGAACCAGTCTTGTGATATTTGGTAGGTCGAAACCCTTTGTTTTAAACTCACTAGTGAGTTTGAAATCATCATGTGCGAAGCATCACACTTACCAAACCCAAGGTTTCTGTTGCAGTAATTCCGATAAGTTCTCCATTTCTGGATGTTTCTACTGCTTTCTGTTTGTGTTTATCTGACATTCCTGAATGTACCCAAATTATTCTCCTCTTCAATGATCCTTCCACTCGAGACCGCAGGTAAGTAGCGCACCGTTCCGCATTGTTTTGAGAGTTGCAGTAAATGGATAATGGCTCTGGTATAGGGTCGGATTCTTTGAGTCCCAATGGTACAAGGAATGCCAAATCTTTGCAAGATTGTCTACTGTATTCCATCGGCCATACACAGTAATGTAGGTTCGGATGGTCATTCGAGCAGTGGATCCACTTTGTGTAAGTCCCACCCTCCTTATTATGATATGGATCCATATTAATTGTAGAAAGTACTTTGCTGCAAGTACATGTGTCGAGGGTTGCAGATGTAAGATACCATTGGCATCAGCATTGAAGGTGCGCATATACTGAGCGAAGGTCTTGATACTTAGAATGGAAGGATAACCATTGTGTAATGCAGTGTGTCTCATCAATGATGATTCGGTTGATTTGGGAAACAAATTTTGTCTTCCACCAAAGTAGCTCATGAGTTCACTGGTCAGCAAATCTGATCCAAGGATAACATATTTATATTTGATTTCTGCTATCTCCTGCATAGAAATTAGCCTATCGGTGTGTGTGGAGTAAGAGAAACATACATTTATTACTTCTTTACTGATGGTTTCAGCTTCCAAAGTCATTGCACTCAAACCTGACTTGACAGCACTCTTGCGGTTTTGGTGAGCCAGTTTTTTTAGAGGGATGATAATGAAGGTAACACAGATTGTTCATAGAGTGCCAGAAGGAAAAATGTATATGTTTTTCCAGTACCAGTTGCTGCAGTAGCGACGAGATTATGTTTGGGAAATCAAAGAAGATGTTCCACAATTTCAGCTTGGAACCAGCAGGCACATCTTGACCACATTTTTTCACTCAGGGCCCTGATCTGCTCAGCTGTAGGCATAGGCTTTATTGTGGTGGAGGTGTCAGGGACAGCTCTGAAAGCGGCGAGGTCCCGGTGCGAGGGACTCAATGGGACAGATGTCGGCTATGCGTAGCGGCGGTCCCGTTGCGGGGTGAGCGTCCCCAACCACTTAGTCTGAAGTGGGAAGTTGTATTATCATTAAAAGGGGAAGCTACAGTACTTACCTGAAGTGGGAAGTTGAGAAGAAGGCTGCTTCTTCTGTTCCCACCCCAGTGTCAGGGCACACCCCACCTGACCCTGCGCCGCGCCACCCTACTCCGCTTCCCCGCTATCACCCTTTGTCTCTTCTTTCCCCTTTCCTTCTTTCTTTCTATTTCCTTCTATGGTCGACCTCCCTTCTTCTATGTATTACTAACACACCTAACCCCGCTCCCCCGATCGCCGCACCCGCCGCACGCATTCCCGCTCACAGAGCGGCACACCTCCGGGATCTCCCACAGAGATACCCAGGGGAGCGCGGCTGTGTGCGGGGATGATGTGGCTCCTCCCACGTGACCCTGACCGCATGTATATAATAGCACCTGGGGTGGGAACAGAAGAAGCAGCCTTCTTCTCAACTTCCCACTTCAGACTAAGTGGTCGGGGACGCTCACCCCGCAACGGGACCGTCGCTACGCATAGCCGACACCTGTCCCATCAAGTCCCTCGCGCCGGGACCTCGCCGCTTTCGGAGCTGTCCCTGACACCCAGGTGCTAGTATATACATGCAGCTGAGGTCACGTGGGAGGAGCCACGTCATCCCCGCACACAGCCGCACTCCCCTGGGTGTCTCCGTGGGAGATCCCGGAGGTGTGCCGCTCTGTGAGCGGGAATGTGCGCGGCAGGCGCCACAATCGGGGGAGTGGGGTTAAGTGTGTAGTAATACATAGAGAAGGGGAAGTCGACCATGGAACGGAAATAGAAAGAAAGAAGGAAAAGGGGAAAGGAGAAACAGGGAGTGATAGCGGGGGAGCGGAGTAGGGCAGTGCGGCGTGGGGTCAGGTGTGTGCCCTGACATCACCCCCCCCCTTAAGCCGCTTCGCCTCGAAGCGGCTGGGCGGTTCTCTCTTTCTCTCCCTGGGGTGTGTGGGTGCGTCTGGTGGAACTCCTCGACTAGGTCTGAGGCATGGGTTAGGTCGTCGCGCGTGAGCCATTGGTTTTCTGAGTGTGGCCAGCCTGTATACTTTACCAGGTACCGGAGTTTTCGGCGCAGCCACTTAGAGTCTAGGATTTTCTCTACTTCGTACTCCTCTTCTCCATCCACAAGGTCTGGGCCTGGGAGGGGGTCGGCGGGGCGTTCCGCAATCTCGTCCGGGCGGTGCGGTCTGATGTTTGTTACCGATACGACTGGGTGGATCCCTCTTTGTCGGGCGGTGAGCCGGAGTTTGACAGTGGTGGGGGAGACGACTTTAATAATCGTGAAGGGACCAGTCCATTTATGGTCCAGCTTCTTGGTTGGGCGGTCTGTCGTGTAATTCTGGGTGCTGAGCCAGACCTGGTCGCCTTCTTGGTACGTAGGGGCCGCCTTGCGGTTCCGGTCGTAGTAGCGGGCCATCTCGTCCGCCACGTGCTCTAGCGCCGCCTTCGCCTCTTCTTGCATCTTCATCATCCTCAATGAGAAGGCATCAGCGGCTTCTACTTCGGATGTGCGTGTGGGCTCTGTCCCCATCCTAGGGTGTTGGCCAGTGTCGAGCTCGAAAGGGGTTCAGTGGGTGGAGGAGTGGATGTGGTTGTTATAGGCGAACTCCGCTAGCAGGAGCCAGTCCGCCCAGTCGTCCAGGTCCATGACTTGGTTTTGCGGGTCAGCGCGTGGAGGGGGCGGGCTGTCTCGGAAAAGTCTTTGATGAACTGGCGATAGAAGTTGACGAACCCCAAGAAGGACTGTACTTCCTTGACCTTGGTTGGGGTTGGCCAGTCAAGGACACTGCGGACTTTCACGGGGTCCATCGCGACACTTCCCTCAGAGATGATGAGGCCAAGGTACTCGATCCACTTCCGCTCGAACTTGCACTTTTCCGGCTTCAAGAAGAGCCTCCGCTTCCGCAACGTCTCCAGGACTTCTTGGACAACCTTCCGGTGTTCTTCCAGGGTGGCAGTGAAGATCAAGATGTCATCCATGTAGCAGATGATGACCTCCCGGTCGATGAAGTCTCGGAGGATGTTGTTCATCATTGTCTGGAACGTCGCCGGGGAGTTACACAAGCTGAAGAACATGACAGTAGGCTCGAATAATCCCCGATTGGTTGAAAACGCTGCCTTCCACTCATCGCCGTCTTTGATGCGGACGTTGTTAAATCCCCAGCGCAGGTCCAGCGCTGAGAAGTACTTAGCGTTTTGGAGGCATGCGAGGACGTCCGAAATGAGTGGGAGGGGGTATGAGTTTTTGACCGTGATCTCATTGAGCTTTCGGTAGTCCTGGACTAGGCGCAAAGATCCATCCTTCTTCTTGACAAAGAAGACTGGGGCTCCCATCGGGGATTTGGATGCCCGTATGCGCCCGTTGTCAGGGACAGCTCCGAAAGCGGCGAGGTCCCGGCACGAGGGACTCGATGGGACAAGTGTCGGCTATGCATAGCGGCGGTCCTGTCGCGGGGTGAGCGTCCCCGACCACTTAGGCTGAAGTGGGAAGTTGAGATTATCATTAAAAGGGAAAAGCTACAGTACTTACCTGAAGTGGGAAGTTGAGAAGAAGGCTGCTTCTTCTGTTCCCACCCCAGGCACTATTATATACATGCGGCCAGGGTCACGTGGAGGAAGCCACGTCATCTCCGCACACAGCCGCACCTCCCTGGGTGTCTCCACGGGAGATCCCGGAGGTGGCCGCTCAGTAGGCGGGAGTGTGCATGGCGCGTTGTAGGAGAAATAACGGCCACACTATGGAAACCCATTATGGAAATATGCCAGATAAATCACAAAACCTCATACGACAAGTAGATATGAGAACATAGAAGGACCTGAATTTTAACGAATTTTACGAATTTTTATGAATTATTATGACTACACACAATAAATCGAAAGAAAGAAAAATAGCAAAAATACTTCAAGCTTACCATCAACGAGACGGAATTCTCGGGGGAATTTATAGCAAATACTAAACCAAGAATTAGGACAATCGACCAAGATTTGACTATAAAAACAATCAGAGAACCTCCATGGAAACTACTTTCCCATGTCCGCACACGTAGCCAAGGATGGAAGTACCACGGAACAAAGATTCCTCAGGAACTAATGCAAAATTCAAAGTCGTGTTTATAATAGGAAATATAGATGTCCACCAAACGGACCCAATGAGAGTAATTACAGGGGAAACTACTCATAAACAACGGAGATATGACTAAAACTCCTGCAAAAACGAGGACAATGCCTAAAAGGGAAGCGCGAAGATCAACCAGTAACGACCGAGACAAGCTTGATAGCCCATTAGAAAGGAAGGGATCCAATCTTAATCCTCCCAAATTTTCATAATAAAAGGATCATGCGTTAATGAGATATCCAATAACGGGAATAGTGACATCAAAAGTCCGAGCTTAGGGAAAAGACGATGTTTGCGTAGGATCCATAATTAAAACATACAACGAAATTTACACGGAAATTATTAAAAATGGGGAACTATAGTTATGCAAATTTTCAGCCCAAACAGTCCAGCCGTTGTGAAGTTATACCCATGACGGGAATATAGAAATCCGCATCATGTGTAATGACACGTGAGGGTGGCGATGTGCAGGGAACCGGCCGTCGGAACCGAGATCCACACTTCAGCAGATCGCGAAGACCAATTTCCGTCCAAATAAGGAAGAGCCCAGTCAAAACAAAGCACAGAAAGTGCAAAACAACCTTAAATCATGAGGGAAAAATCTGAAATAAATCACAGAAGCCCATATGAAAGAAATAAACACCCACGCATATCATAAATCCCGAACAATTAAACGGAAACGGCGCCCGCATATGAACGACTATGGGAATGATGCATGTGATTACCGAATGTGCGCGCGAACTTTTGCTAACTCAACGAATACCAGGAAATAGGACACAACCTTGGTACCATTGGAAAGGTGGGAATAAATGAAAATTTATGATACCAAGAACGTGAGAAAACATCCAGAAATGAATGAGATATAGGGACATGAAGTTAGAAACCTGAAAACGCGTGGGAAAACAGCTTCAAGAGGTCCAGAGTCCTAAATAAAATACATAAAAATATGATATCTTCAAGGACGACCTACTATAACAACCAACAATACATATGGAGGATTAGGATGTGATAATACAAAAGGGAATCAGGGAATATGAACGAAATTCACGAAAACCACTAAACTACGACGGACCATGGCGGGAATTT